GTGGGAAGAGCACCTAAGGGAAATAAACTATGTCCGTGCGATGGCATAGTGAGTCCGAGGAAAGTAGTCTCTATAAAAGACCCATGGGAGGGTCACGAAGTTGGGCCGTGGATAGAGCCCATAGCAGAAGATGCTAAAGAGATGTACTAGGGGTGAACATCCTCCGGACTTGGCAAAGAAGAGTCTTTGCTATGGAACCGAAACAATACCTCAAGGAGGGAGGTAGAGATTCGATGTTGCTTGGTGCAACAATCAACGGATAGGAGCAAAAGATGAGTGGCCAAGATAGGGCCGTGGAATCCCTTGGAAGGAATCCAAGTGACAAAGTTAGGCGAGGAACACTAATGTGTTGGACGCTAACAAGTTGCGGGAAAGGAAGTGTATTTCCAAGGAAGGATTCCGAAATGCTCTGATTTGGCGAAAGTGGAAGCTCCAAGGGAGGGAGCGGTAAGGTAGCCAAATGATAGGGCCATGAACAGCCCTAGCACAAAGTATGATAACTGGAACTTTGGCACGAAATAGAAGAGAGGATGATGGTGCCCTCGAGTAGAGAACTTCCTAGGATGGGAAGTGGAGTTGCACAAAAGGTGCAAGGCAAGGTGTCGGAGACACCTAGGAAATTGACTCCAAGAAGTCAAAATTCAAAGTTCCAAAGTGCAAAGGTTATATCGATGGAATTTGAGACTACTCGAGAAGGAGTAGTGGGTTTGACTTAGAGAAGGGTCTCTAAGAGGTTTAGCGAGAACTAAACCAATAAAAGGAGAGAACCAATCCTTGTGGTCCAATCAGTCTCTAAGTTGGGGAGACTACCCTCCTTAGAGGATAGGCAAGGCATGGTGAGCCTTTGGTGTCAAACCATTGAGGCATATGCAAAAGGCATGGTGAGCCTTCAATGTCAAACCATTGACAAATATTGGCTAGGTGCCAAGGATGGAAATGGTAACACATACGGGTGTTACTTTACAAAATGGTTTACCGTTCGATGAGGACATCGAACTTCGTCTATGGGTGGTGGAGTTGTGAGACACAAAATCCCTAGGCCCCAAAGTGGAGCCGGAAGGGCGCCACATGGTAGTGGCCGAAGTGAGAGCCAAAAGAGCATAACACGTTTGGACCAAAAGCTCCGACTTGAAAAGTCAAGAGCGGGAGTGGAACTCCCAACGAAGTGCTCGAGGAACGAGCACGAAGCGAGCAAAAGGCAAGGCTCCAAAAAGGGACCCAAAAGGACCAACACATGACACGTGGGAGTGTCCGAAATGGACTCGAGTTGGAGTCCGAAGTGGAGTCCGAGATGGACTCGAGTTGGAGTCCGGAGTGGAGTCCGAGATGGACTCGAGTTGGAGTCCGAAGTGGAGTCCGAGATGGACCCGAGTTGGAGTCCGAAGTGGAGTCCGAGGTGGACCCGAGATGGACCCGAGTTGGAGTCCGAAGTGGAGTCCGAGATGGAGTCCGAGATGGAGTCCGAGATGGAGTCCGAGGTGGACCCGAGATGGACCCGAAATGGAGTCCGAGATGGAGTCCGAGATGGACCCGAGATGGAGTCCGAGATGGAGTCCGAGATGGACCCGAGATGGACCCGAGATGGAGTCCAAGATGGAGTCCGAGATGGAGTCCGAAGTCGAGACCGAGACCGGGACCGAGACCGGGACCGAGACCGAGACCAAGACCGAGATCGGGACCGAGACCGAGACCGAGGCCAAGGCCGAGACCGAGCCCGAGCCCGAGTCCGAGTCCGAGTCCGAGTCCGAGTCCGAGTCCGAGTCCGAGTCCGAGTCCGAGTCCGAGTCCGGAGCCTGAGAGGGTGAAAGCCCAAAGCGTTCGTCTCCCAGACCCTGGGGGGTTTGGTGAGCCCCAAAAGTATAGTAGGGGGAGGACTGCAGTGGAGCCAGTTTGGCCAGGAAAGGCCAGTTTGGCCCAGGAAGGCCGGACCCAGTGTTGGGTGATGAGCTGCCCACTGGGAAGTCCAAGACTAGAGTGAACACGGACCGACAAGTGGGGTAGCTTGGTGAAGTGTTCAAGAGCCGGCTCTAGTTCCCCCGGGAGATCGACTGGCCGATGCTCTCAGTCCAAGTGTGGGTGGCACTACCTACTTGGATACCAGGCGTGGCTCAACGGAACCTCGCTCTAAGCCCATGGCTAGAGCACCTAAAGGCGATAGGTGGGGAGAGTACCCAGGTGGCTCGCGTAAGGCCACGGTGTTCCGAAATGTCGTCCCAAAGGCCCAGACTGTGGAAAGGAAGAGGAGCAGTCCTCTGGGGTAGTGACCAAGGACACAGTCGTGTGGTGAGGAAGTCCCAGAGGACCGTGGGACTTAGTGGTCGGGCTTGTGGACCTCGATCCAGTGGCAGTGTTGGCAAACACGGCCAGGGGCAGAAAGGGACTTGGTAGGAACTGACAAAGGGACTTTGGGGAAGGCGATTCCCCAGGTCTGTGGGCATCTTAAGGATGCTAAGGAGTGGATCTAGGTTGACCCCTCATAGACAGATGGCACAGTCTTGGAGAGACAGGATGGTGATGCAAGTGGTATTGGACCATTTGCGCAGCAAAGGTGAATGGGCATGGCCTTAGCGTAACGGGCCGAGATGTCAGTGATACCTTTGGGTGTCGGTCATGGGATCGGACACGTGGAGCACTTGGACCAAGTGCAAAGGTTGAGTGGCATGGATGCCATTCTTGGGGCTGGCAAGTCCCAAGTCCTGAATTGGACTTATGGAGGTTGTGAATGAGACTCCTCCAAATGGTCGGAGGCATGGTTAAGTGACTAAAGTAGAATGGAAAATTTAGTCGCTTACATGCAAGTGCTAGTGATAATTGGATTTGTCTTCAACAAGTTAAGCTTAAACCATTCTTCGTCAAAACTGGTTCCTTCCTGGACCAGCACAACAACAATCCTTTAGAATTTTGATACAGGAGCTGGTCAATATAATCCACATACCTCTCATCATGTGCTAAAGAGACAGCACCATGTGCATGATGGACCCACTAGCATCTAATTTTTGCTCAATTGAACATCTGTTGCGAGGACAAGGATCCCTTATCCCAATATTCATTTTGCTCTTTTTCCCACTATCCTGTACCACCTGACAAGCAACCACTCAAATCCACCTACATAATATAAAGGTGCATAGCATGCATTTATTCCCTGCAAACAGTTGCTCCATCTCAATGCCCTGGCCTAGGTTTATAGCAACCAGATTTCATTTAAATGAGCTGTTAGGCCTCCCCCCTCCCCATTGAATGTGGTGTTGTATTTGTTTATAAACACTATAAAATGATTTTTAGCCAAAATCCTGTGAATATCTGCCAAATAAAAAATTCAATTGAAACTTTTACTTATTCTACCTTACCGTAAACATTAGGATCTTAATACCCAAAGTATATATTTCAGAGTAATTAGCTTCATTATTTTTAATTTGAAGTACAACCTATTAGTGTACATGAGTACAACCTACTGGAAATATTAAATAGTATATAATTTATATAAGAGAATATAAAACTTGAACTTTCTGTCCAATAGAGATTTCTTTTATTTGTTTTTTATCACCATTATACAGCTGTAATACTACATCACACGCTTAGAAAAAGTATTTAAATTTAAAACGAGATTTAGAAATTATTTGGGAAACAGCTTTTCATACCACTTTTCAAACTACAAAATTATGAATTTACAGTACATTTTGATATGGTTAATTTAAGTTCTTTTGTCAAGTTTTCCCATGTGGTTTCCCTTTGACTCTAGAACTCCATAATACTTTTGAGTCTTGGACTGTAGTAGCCATATAGCAATCAAAATGACCAATCACATCCAGGCTGGATACATACCCCAGAATACACTATTACATTGGTGGTACAACAGCCCAGAATATAATGCCATCCAGATTGACTGCCACCTTCATGCCCACCCATACACTTTCAAGGATCATTAACCATGTGGCGGGAAGGTAGCTTAAAACATCTTTAGAGGATCGTGGAAAAGAAAGCTGGGGACAAGTGTGTGGACACGTGCTGTGCTTTTAGGGCAGTGCGCTATCATAGTGTTCTTTACCTTTTTAGGGCTTTTCGATCGATCGATCCAGGGTTTCAGTCGCAATGGCGGAGAATGGGCGCAACGACAGTGGAGATTATCATGCCAGTGATCAACCCCCTCCGCAAGAGCGAGATCGCACGTACTTCATCACTCTCCCTGTGCGAACGCTCACAGATTTTGTTCCAGAGGAGCACCTGAGCAAGCTATCCCTGTACCTGGGGATCTATGCCATCCTCTTCATCATCGCTGGTATAATAGGAATTCTTTTCCCTCTGGTGTTTGCTCTGGCGGTGGAGCAGCTGATTGCATGGCTGCTCATCCTGGGCGGCGTTTTCTCGATCGTCCAGTTCATCGCCGTGTGTGGAGCTCCAGGAACTACATCGTTTTTGTTGCTGGGGATTCTACACCTGGGAATTGGACTCTTGATGCTGATCAAGCCGATTGAAGGTGGCATGGCACTCGTCTACGTTCTCTCTGGATGGTTTCTAGTTCATGTAAGTGATCCAGCTCGAGCTTTACTCCAGCCAAACAACATTTTTTAAAAAAATTTTGTTCTATCACAGGGACTGTTGAAATCGTTGATGGCTTGTCAAGTCCGAAACATGACATCGTGGCCCGCTGTTCTCGCCAGTGGGATTCTTTCGGTGATTCTGGCGTTTGCCATTTTGATTCTAGCTCCCAAGTTTGGGCTGGTTCTCCTGGGAGTGATCTTTGGCGCGGATCTTCTCGTCTCGGGGCTTTCCATGCTCTTCATCGCCACAATTGCCTTCTGTGGTATGCGTGATTCGTTTTTTTCTTTTGGTTTTTGGTGATCAATCTAAAACATTTCTCCAGGCAGAAGATCTGTGCCTTCGGAACGAGCAAATCTTCTTCAGGCACAAGCTGATGAGTACGCGTGATGGAAGCCATCGATCTAGTCCTAGTTTGCTACTGTTTCGGGTGTATTTACGTAGACGAAGATCTAGCATCGTTGTAAATGGAACAAGACTTTTACCTCTTGATTCTAGTTGTTTTTTTTCCCAGAATAAAATTGATTGGTTTTTGTTTCAATCCTTGGGAGCTAGCTATGGCAAAACTGCGAGAATGTCCGATGCACGGATCACAACATACTCGCTCCCGTCTTTGCTCTTAAACTCGTTTCCAGCATACTTGGAATACATGACCGAGTTCCCTGGAGCAATATCTAGCGGCTTTTTCACCCCATCCTCTCCGAAAGCTCCAGATCCAACGGCGACAGCCTAAACACACAAGCTCGCATCAATCCCCAGCTAGAAGATAAACGACAGTTTGGTACCGTGCCAGTGACGGGCTTCTCTTTGGCATTTTCGGTGAGGATGATACCTCCGGACGTCTTGTCCTCGGCCTCTGCTATCTGTAAAGAAGGAACAGAAAAAGGCTCTAGCGGTTTAAATACCAAAAGTTCTTCCATACCTTGATCAAGACTCTCTCGTTGAGTGGCTTCAAGTCTTTGATATCGTCGGTCGACAAGAAACCAATGAGGTCGTCCTCCTTGAGCAAGACGTGCTCGGCATCATCGAATTGGACCTCGGTTCCAGCGTACTTGGAGTAGACAACCATGTCACCAATCTGTGATCAAAGTTACAAACCAGCAACACCAACGAAAACATTTTTTACCGAGACACAAGGATCGATTTTCTTGTCGGCAATGGTCTTGCCTGATCCGACTGCTACAACTTCTCCACCCTGAGGCTTGGTTTGTGATGTCACTGGCAGTAAAATTCCACCTGGTGTCGTTTCATTTGCTTTTTGGATCTTGACAAGCACTCGATCTCCAAGAGGTTTTAGAGTCTTGAACTGCAAAACCCCAAAGGAATTAAAAAAGAGAGGAAGTTTTGACAAATTCTCTTACCTTTGATGGTGCTGTTGCGGTAACTCCTGCTCTAACTTGGACAGAACCACTCCTTATCCTCGTAGCGTGGGGCGATGAAATTGTCACAGACAATGAACTTCCGGCTTCCATGTGAAGGCCTGTCCAGCTCCTCGAGATAAGCTGAAAAAATCCGATTTTATCAGGAAAGGAAACGAAAAACTCTAAGAATTAGCAAACAAAGAGAACAAAATTTTTGATTTCTAGCATAGTTTATAGAATGTAGCTCAGTAAAATCAAGAAAAAGTAGATCTATGAATGCTCCAGAAGCCAAAGAGCGAGAAATCAATAAAAATGCTTACTTTTGTGGAAGTAGAAGGCGCGTTGAGCTGAATTGCGGAAGACCTCGCGGCGATCAACGACGAGGGCGCCATAGCTGCAGCCATTTCTCTCTAGACGCTTCTAAAACCCTGGGATGTTATCACCCTTGGATCCCCTCCAATCTAACGGCCAGAATATCCACCCTAAAATTCAAACCCGAGCGGGAAAAACAGAGCTTGTTTAGGGCTCTTGCGCTGCCGCTCCTACGATGTTGGACATCATCACGTACGTTGCCGATCGCGCCTCCAGCTTCGCCACGGCATCAAATGCTCTCCTCCCAACGCCATCATCCCCAAATTTGTGCGCGGCATCCATCAAACACGTCCAGATCACCGCATCCGCTTCGAAGGGCAATCGCTCCACCAATTCCACGGCCTCCTCCAAGCGATTAGCTCGGCCCAACAGGTCGATCACGCAGGTATAGTGCTTGATCGACGGAATCACTCGATTCTCTTGAATCATCGCGGCCAGGAGCGTCTTGCCCTCGTCCACAAGGCCAGCATGGCAGCAAGCGCTCAAGGCAAGCAAGAAAGTTACGGAATTGGGCCACAGCGTACGGTCGTGGCTGTGCTGCATCGCGTGAAACATGGACATTACTTGGGCCGTGTCGCCGTGGCGGCCGTACGCGTCCACGAGGGCATTCCACGTCACCAGGTCGCGGCATTGGGGCGGAAGGGAGTCGAACACTCGCTGGGCGTCGGCCGTACTGCCACACCGACCGTACACCCCAACGAGAGAGTTTGCCACCATGGGATTTCTCGCGAGGCCCGCGTTTGTGATTTCTAGCTCGAGAGTTCTTCCGCGTTCGAGAGCTCCCAGATTTCCACAGGACTTTAGAGCCGCCACAAAGATCGCGGGGCTCACAACTCTCTTCTCGCGCTGGATCGTCGAAAAGAGATGGAGCGCTTGCTCGTCCTCGCCATTGTCAGCACAGGCCTGGATGATCGAGCTCCAAGACACCGAGTCTCGCCTACGGATGCTCCAAAACATCTTAAACGCGTCCTCGAGGCTGCCACACTTGGAGTACATGTCGATGAGAGCGTTGGCAACGAAGATCTCTTTCTCGTGACCGTTTTCTCGAGCTTGCCGGTGTAGAGTTCGTCCGATCTCCAACGAACTCGTCTTCACCATCCTGCCCAAGATCATCGTCCCGGCCTCATTCTCCGCCAAAGACACACAGGCCTTGATCGCAGCGAGAACTGTGACGTAATTCGACTGGCAGTGATGATCGTCCATTTGCCGGACGAACTCGAGAGCTACCTCGCCGTCACCGTTTAGAGCATACCCCATGATCATCCCGGTCCAGGAGATGACACACTTCCTCGGCATGGCGTCGAAAACTCTGCGTGAATCCTCCATGCTTCCACACTTCGCGTACATGTCGATCAAAGTGTTGGCCACCACCGAGTCCTTGCAAAGTCCCGCTGCTTGGGCTCGAGAGTGGAGACTCATCCCAGTTTCCAAGGCCTGGAGCTTGACAAGCTTGCCGTGGACGAGCGCGCCGGGATCTCTCTCCGCCATGCTCGAGCAGGCTTTCAACGCAGCGATAAAAGTTACTTGGTTTTGCGAGCAGCCGGCGCGACGCATCTCTTCGAAGAGCTCCAAGCCCAGCTCTCCGCGATGGTTGTCAGCATAGCCGAGAATCATCGAGGTCCATGAAACCACACTGCGGTGTTGGATCGCATCGAAAACTCGTCGAGAATCACCCGCGCTGCCACACCTCGAGTAAACGTCCACCAAAAAGTTGGCGAGGAAGATGTGGAGTTCTTCTTGCCCGCTTGATCCAGCTCTAGCAGCTCGAGAGTGGATCCTCATCACTATCTCCAGAGTTTTCATCTTCACTGGCTGGCCATGGATGATCTGCGCGTCTTCTTCCCTGGCGAGAACCACGCAGGCCTTGAGAGCAGCGAGATCCGTGACGTGATTTGGAGCCAGGCTTTCCTCTCGCAGCATTCGATCGTAGAGGTGGAGCGCTCTCTCTGGCTGGTGATTCTCGGCGTAGCCAAGGATGAGGGAATTCCACGAGACAATGCTGTGGATCTCCATCCCGTGGAAGACACTGCTCGCGTCGGCCATCCTCCCACACTTGGCGTACATGTCGATGAGAGAGCTCGCCACGAAAGAATTCGCCATGAATCCACTCTCGCGAGCCGCGGCGTGGATCTCTCTACCCAGTTTCTCATTCCTGGATTTGCTACATGCCTTGAGAGCCGCGAGGATGAGCGCCACGCTGGGCTTGGATCCAGCGTCTTGGAACCTCACAACTATCTCCCTGTTCTTGGATGAATTTCCTGTTCCTCCCACCCCGGCCATTCTTGGCGACGCATTCTAGCTCGCTGTCTAGCAGCTGGATTTCACGCAATACCTGGAATCGCGATCCATCTCCGCGATGGCCCTGGAATTCCAATCCATCTCCTAGTTTCACTCTAGCAAACTAGCAAATACCCTAGCGATGGAGGCCAAGGATGGGCGCTATGCTGCAATGCTGGAGCGATTGGCGGCGCTGGACAGCGAGCGGGCGCGCCAGGCGGAGGCCCGGCGCCACGACGCAGCGGCATCCGCGAATCCACTGGAATCCACAGGTGCGTTCCAGGGCGCCTTCGACGAGCAGCGCAAGGTCGTGGAGGAATCGCTCAGTCGCATCCGCCAGTCCGGCAGCGCATCCGGCAAGGCCGACATGGATGCCGTCGCGGTCCAGCTCGCGGCCATGGACAAGATGGTGTCGGATGCGAGCTACTTCCTCCCGCCTTACGACGTCCAGAGCTCTCGATCGGTGGTGGACAGGCTCAAGCAATCGCTCGAGAGCGCCATCGCGGAGGTCATCCCCAAGAAGAAATTCTCCTTCCGGGCCAAGAACTCTTCCTCGTCACCGAAAGAAACGGTAACGCCACCAGCGGTGAAAAACGAGGAAGAAGAAGATGAGACTCCATCGTTCATGGCTGATCGAGCTGCCAAGCTCCACTCCATTCGCGACGCCAAGAACTCCACCATCGTCCACGACTCGGGTGAATCCAGCGAGACAGAGGTGACGCTCTCCAACTTGACGCACTGCACGGTGTTCTTGAGGGGGATCTTCCGCGCCATGTTCTTCCACAAGCTCAAGAACTGCCATGTCTACGTGAGCGCAGTCACGGGATCCATTCTTCTGGAGGAGATCGACAGCTGCATTTTCATGCTCGCGTCCCACCAGATTAGAATCCACTCCACCACCAACACGGATTTTTATCTCCGGGTCCGGAGTCGCCCGATCGTGGAGCATGTTAGTGGAGTCCGGTTTGCTCCCTACGCTTTCCACTACCAAGGGATTGAGGATCATCTCAAGGCAGCGAACTTGGCCGAGGAGACTGGATTGTGGGAGAAAGTTGACGACTTCCGGTGGCTTCGAGCTGCAGCTTCTCCCAACTGGAGCATTCTTCGTCCGGATCAACGCGTTCCTCTCGTAGATGGCACCAACGTTTCTAGTCGGGAGTTTTGCAACAAATAAGTCTCAAGGTGGATTTCTTCTCCCACGAATTCATTGCGTTCTTGGTTTTGAAACCTTGACTGAATTGTTCTGTTTGGCAGGATCTTGCGAAAGAAATGCCAACTGCATGCTACATTTTCTTATATAAACGAGACCAGTTTTAACTGTTGCCATGCCGGAGGTTTGAGGTAGACCTTTTGCTTTTCGTTTGCAATCACGAAAGGCTACACAGGTGAGTGCTTTCGTAAATTTAGATCGAGAACAGTCTCTCTTTTTTTTCATCGCAGCTGCTATCTACATCGAGCACTCTGGGACGGTAAATTGGAAATCAATCTCTCTACTCTCCTGGGGAGTGATGGTTTTGTACAGGAGCCAATCTTCTAGAGATTGCTTGAGAGCGGCGAGCTTTACTTCCTGACTAATGCAGCAGATGGCGTGAATGGCGCAAATCTTCTCAAAGTCGGTGTTCATGTGGCAGTAGCCGCTCAAGTACTCGGTTGGGATGTACTTGAGCTTCAATCCAATGCTGGCAAAATCAGGCGTCTCTTTCATGGCCTCGAACACGTCCTGGTCGTTCTTGTCCGGGGAAGTTTCCTGCTGCTCGAACCACAGGTCGAAGAGCTTGATGGTCCGCTGGTTTGATCGAACATGGAGGATGCCCGTGTTGATGTGGTTCGCAATGTCGGACGAGTTTCCATTGAAATCGTGGTTGCAAGAGACGTCGAGGTCGGATTCTCGCGAGAAGTGCTGGAATGGAGCGCGAAACCAGAGTATATCAGCGTCCTGTGCACGTCAAGGAGAAAGGTGGTGGAACAAAGATCGAAGAATATCTCTCTCTTACTGTGTAGAGGAAGTTGAATCCAAGCTTGAGAACATTGCCCAGGAACTGGATCTTGAGCTTGTTGGTCTCGAGATAGTTTGGGGTGTTGTAATTGTTCTCCGTGGAGAGATCCAGCCTGGGGGTTTTCAGGCGGAAGCAATGAAGGCGCTTGGATTTGCACACGGCGGATGCCTCCCGGTCGAGCGTGGCAACGAGGAGGTGATCCAAGAGGTGGAGGATTCCTTCGCCGGTGTGGAAGCTGCGCAAAAACAAGTCGAACATTCCCCCCACGGCCCATGCTTTGTTGAGCTCGGTGACGAGGATGGTCTTGTTCTCCATGGATGCCGACGTGAGGGTGGACTCGAGAGATGTCTGATTGTCGCCATCGTCATTGTCTTGCTTCCAGGAGAAGTTGCTAGTGGGATGGTTTCCTTCCCACGCAGGCGATAGGAGTGGCGATGGTGTTACTGCTAGCATTGGAGATGGTGGTGCTGTTAATGGTGTTGATGGTGTCACTCGATCCTGACGCTCACGATCAACGTTCTTGCCTGCTACTGCTGGGAAGTGAGTGTGACTATTCTCACTGATGTCCGGGGCAAGTGAGAAGAAGTCGTCCTCTAGGTGAGCTTGTTGATCCAAATCACTACCGGTGTGTTGATCTCTTGGGAGTGCTGCTTTTCTGACCGAGCTCGCTGCTCTTGTGTTGGCCACAACCGGGAAGAGCACTGGGTGTCCTTGTTGGTTGCAAATGGCAAGCACAAGGACCACGAAGAATAGGCACACGATTGCAGCCGGCAACACCATCTCCAACAAAATGGTTAGTTAGATAACTACATTTTTGGAACTAAAAGAAACTCTTGCCCTAAAAATATGGATTAAGTATTTAAATCTTGAATTTTAATTATTTTTATTCAAAGTGATAAAATTTTAATATAGTTAAATTTATTCATAATAGTTTGAGTATTCTTATGCCAAAATATTATTCTTTAATAAAACATTTTATTTTATAGATAAATGTCCATAATATTCCCACTTCAATGATATGGTTAATCATTAATATGTTTCTTGTAAAATATTTATATAAATAAAGATAAATTTTAAAATTTAAATTCATGTATATAACTTGAATAGGAAATAAGATAATATGATATACATAAGGTAATATGTAACTTAACTTAAAAAAATTAAATAAATCATCTAAAAACCAATCACTATGAGGTGATACAATAATATCATTAACAATTAAATCCCCAAATAGTGTGAATGGGTTATACAGTCCATGCTTTTTTAAAGTATAAAAACCTATAAAAATAAAAATAGTGAGTTAAACTATTTATTTATATCACTTACCAGTTATATTATAAGTTAAAACTTTTCCTAATTTTTCATCTAGAGATAGTAATAAATCATTTTTAGTAATATCATTAGCATATTTATAGATGATTGAGCCTAAAATATAATTGAGTAATTTAAGATTTTCATCATAATACTATTACCTGTTTTTGATACTATTGGTATAAAGTGAAAAGGGGATAATTCAATGCTTTTATTATTTTCAATATCAATATGAATAAAATTTTCATAAGCATCATAATCTTGATGCCCAAAAGCATATATATCAGAATAATGTATTTCACCATTTTTAGTTCGAACTGCAACCTAGAAAAGAACTTAAAATTTAATGTTATATACAAAAAGATGAAAATGATTTTAAATAAAAACCTTATCTCCTATAGAAATATTTTTCATTTGTTTTTTATTTCCATTATAAAGTTGTAATACTGCATCACCTGTTGAAAAATTACTTAAATCTAAGATAAAAAATTTAAAAATCACCTGGAAAACATGTTCTTTTGCAAATATATTTCTTACATCTATAACCACTAGGACATTGTGAATCGAGAGTACATGAATAAATTTGATCTGGTAAAATATAAAGCACAAATAAAGCATAAACTAGAAAAGCATTCATTTTCAATATTTGTTAATAAAACGAATAAAATTGTATGTATATATATTTTCAATCCAATTAAACTTGAACCATCTAGGATGGATGCAATAGTCCAAAAACTAAGAAGAATATAATGTCTTATATGTTGCTAAAGCCAAAATAACCATGGCTATTCACCTAGCTTGCTCCTTATATAACAATATGTTACAAAAGCTACAAAAATAGAGTGTAGCTAAAGTAAGGTGTGTTATTTCTAATGCTTGGCATGTGCCATTCAACAAAGTGGAATAGACGAACTTGTCCCCATAGGGCTATATGGTGCCAGTTAGCAACTTCCTCCAAAGCTCTCACCTTACTTCATTGCTCTATACATTTTTTGTTTGTTTTTTGAATTACTACTCCAATCACTAGTTCTCTATTTTAGATATTTCTACTGCAGGCATTTATGGGCCTATGAGAGATCTTTGCACCCAGCACTCTAAAGCACTTTAGAACATGTAGATCATGGGGAAACTTTTGGGAATAATCCCTATGCACCTAGAAGCTATTGCTATGAGACTTTCCAAGAGAAACATAAGGGAGTACACATTTATATTGAAAATTAAAGTCTTAAAGCTAGTGTTGCCACTAGATAGCCCTCACACAAGTTGTGTTACCACTAGTAGGCTATGAGATCTTCTTTAGTCTCTAAATCCTATATAAACATAAGATTCTCTAAGGGGGATAGGGAGGTGGCATGCTAACCCTATTATACTTTATTACTGATGATCTTCACTTGATCTTATGAGATATCTTCTTGAATGTATCACTTCTTACATTTGCCCAATTTGGATTTGCTTTCACCTATGTTTTTTTCCCTAATTCTTAAACTTTCCATTCTACTTTCATTGCTTAACTACACTTTTGACCACTTGAAAAAGTTTCACTCATAACCAAAACCCTAAAGGTGGTCTCTAAAATGTTGCCTTCACACTTCTCTAAATGTTCTATATGTTTAAGGCTATTAAACACATTTAAAGGTATCTTAGCCTCTAAAGCTTTATCCATTCACATTGTCTCAAATGTAATTCAAAACCATTTATACCACATACCTGTCTCTCCAAAACTAAGCCATCCATTCTAACTATGGTCATTTTATAACCACTTCTTAGCATCTTTAGAATGCCCTAAAACATGGGGGAATATTATCTTTCAATATCCTTTCTTTAATCCCCAACAAATCCCTCTTTATTTATGGTAGTGCTCGTCAATAGTTTAGAGTTTGAAAGATTGTCCACTAAACCCTATTGACCTTTAGAATTTCCTTATCATATAACCATACCCTTGGTTACTAAGCAAAAGGACCACTCTTCTTCCTTTTTGCCATTTAAGGTTTTAAGATGATATTTCGAAATATCATGAGTCCTGAGGTACTCTCCCCACTTTTTGCCACTAGAGTGCTTTGGCTATATGGTTAGAATGAGGTTCTGGTGACTAACACAAAGTATCTAAATAGGTAGTGCCACTTATATTTGGATTGGGAACATAAACCATCCAATCTTTCAAAGGAGTTAAAATCAATTGTAAATGATTAAAGTTTTCATTATACTTTAGTCACTTAATCACACCTTAAACCATTTAAAGGAGTCACATTCACAACTTTTATAGGTTCTCATCCCAACTTAGGGTACTTGTTAACTTTCATAGGTAATCTCAAGCCCATGTCGACTTTTCACTTATTCCAAGTGTGTTATATATTCAATCCCACTTTAGACACCCAAAAGTACTATTGAAGTCTTAACTTCTTATAGTAAGGCTCAATATTTTATTAGTAACTTTATGCCATAGTCTTATCTTTCTAAAACTATACCTTTCAATCACAAGTGGTTATTTTATAACCATTCCTTAGCATTCTTAGGAAACAATATTGCTAGGGAACAATATCCTTTAATATCCCTTTTTCAATCCCTACTTCATCCACAACAATGTTCACCCTCGTTGCCATTAGGTTAGGGCTTGAAGGTTTGACCACTAAGTCTTATTAACATTTAGGACTTCCTACACTATATAACCATACATTTGATTACTAAGCAAAAAGGCTACTCTTTTTTGTTTTCATTGTTAGTTACTTTGGGATGACATTTCAAAACATTAGAGCTTAATGTAGGTACTACCCCATCTTTTACCACAAAGATGTCTCAACTATGTGGCTAGAGTGAGGTTTTAATGAGCTATACAAAGTATCCAAATAAGTAATACCACCCACACTTAGGGAGCATTGACCATTCAATCTCCTAGAAGAGCTAAAGCTAATTCTTGAACACTTCATCAAGTCACTTCATTTATCCATTCATGCTTACTTTATTCGTAGACTTTTAAGTGTTCATATCATCACCCACCATATAATTATAGCTTTCCTTA